ATAATTGGGAATGATCATTTCATTAATTTTTCTAAACTTTGTAATTTACAGTCTTAGCATATAACCTGACACAATTGAAAAGTCATGTATAGATCTCTATCATGTATACATCATGTAGTATTTGTGACTTTTCTTAAAGAAATTATTTTGCAGACTCCTGCTACTGTTTGTAGTTGTATTCTTTTTATTAATCCTTAGTTAAGGTTATGTTTGCTTCTACTCAGAAATGTCAAATGTAAGAATCACAGATGACTGGGTGCTGGTGGCTCACACCTGTAATCCTAGCTACTCAGGAGGCTGAGGTCTGAGAATCATGGTTCAAAGCCAGCCCAGGCAGGAATGTCCCTGAGACTCTTATGTCCAATTAACCACCAGAAAACAAAATGGAGCTGTGGCTGAAAGTGGTAGAGCGCTAGCCTTGAGCAAAAGTGTTCAGAGACAGCACTGAGGCCCTGAATTCAAGACCCAAGGCCCCCCCCAAAATCACAGATATTTTAAATACAGAATGTTAGGATTTGCCTCCTATCTCTAGATTTCTATATTGTTTAAATATTACTGTATGGCTTATGTAAAGTAGGTTTTATCAAGTGCATAGCTTTGGTCTATAATTCAGGAATGCTTTATAACCATCAGAAGACATTGTTTATACTTCATATGTGATCAGTATGGTCAGTTTTAAAGTTTTAAAGTGATAAAGTGTTTAAAAATAAACTACTATAGATATTCCTGTACCAGGAAGATAGATAGATAGATAGATAGATAGATAGATAGATAGATAGATAGATAGATAGATAGATAGATAGATAGATAGAATGGCAGGATTTGCGGAGGTTATCTACAAACACTATGCATTATATGAAGAACTTGAACATAGTTAGATTTCATATCTGCAGGAGTCTTGGAATCAACCTTATATGATTTTGAGGAACTATATACATATATATAGATAAGAATACATAAATATATGTAAATGTATAAGTTTGTAAACACAAATGAAAGGCATATATTTCATTCTAATATAAACACCTATAAAGACTTCACTGTACATAAAGGTAAGTCCCTGTGAAATTAAAATGCTAAGGTCATTTGAAAAGCTGCTTCTAGAGTATGAAGTACATACCCTCCTTCTCAACCAGTGGAGCAAATAGGGAACTGTTTGTCAAGTGAATTTGTGACCACCAAGCAGGATTGGGTTTCTCTGCTCTTCTCTTCATTGGGAAAGGTGCCCAGTTGTACTGCATGGATGATATTCTGTCTTACAACTGTTGTACCTTCCCACCTTTGACCTTGGGTCTCCTACTGGAACCCTTCATTTTTGATCCTGGTTCAACCATCTCAGTCCAGCCTCTTTTTCCCTGTGTGACCAACATAAGTCTGCCAATTCTAAAGCTTTTCCTTGCCAATACAAGCTCAGAGTTCTATTTATTTGAGACAAAGTTGTTCTTTACCATTCCTGTTGAAGTTGTTGTGAGGAGTTATTGGACTAAATTTCATAAATGTTCCTAGTACTATGTCTAAAATATAACAGAGACTAAGATATGAAAACTGTTATGACTACATTGAAAATCACACAGCACTGGAAGTAAAATAAAAGTTAAAATGCACAAGATTTCTGTGTAGAACTTTATCATTAGAACAGTTGGGGCTGGGCGTGTAGGTGGTAGAGCAATTGCTTAGCATGGGCAAGGCCCTGGGTTTCAACCTCAGCACCAACAAAAAAAAATTTAAAGTTTATCTGGACATCATAATAATAGTAAGGATCTAGGAAGCCATGGCTGTGGGTCAGTCATGGGCCTAATCACCTAGATGAAATCAACTTTGCTTTCCATAATCACCCCAAGAGGTGAGTTTTGCCATGTCCTCTGTGATGATAAGGAACCCAGATGCACATGTATGGAAAACTTGCCTGGGTTGGCAGTGAGAAGAGAGTGATAGAGGCAAGCCCATCTTCCCAATACTGTTATAGCACATTCCTCACTGACACTGCATACAGGTCTCCTGCCCTCAGACATTCACTTTCAAAACATTTCCCTTCAAGCCATGGCGCATGCCTGTAATTGGAGCTACTCAGGAGGCAGAGATCTGAGGATTGTGGTTCAAAGCCAGCCCTGACAGGAAAGTCCCTGTGAGACTCTTATCTCTAATTAACCACTGAGAAACTGGAAGTGGTGCTGTGGTAGAGCACTAGCTTTGAGCACAAAGAGGCTCAGGGACAGTGCCCAGGCCCTGTTTTGTCTCGTCCGGACAGTAGTTGAAAATAACAGCTGACCCTTGGAAAATAACAGCTTCCTCTTAAAGTGTCCTATAAGCACATTCTTTTTTTAATGTGCTTTCAGAATTCATGTGAATCTTCACTATCTTTTGCTTCTTCAGGAAGTTTTTGTTCTGTTGGAAATTAGATTTTTATTTAATTTTGTTTCCCTTGGAAGAATAAAGCTGTATTCAAACTCGAGAAGTGGGAGATATCCTGTTCTTTTCAGGAGGTGGAAAAGTTCCTGGAAAGACAGTGACAGGCATCTCAGTGCTTTGCCTGACTCAGGAGAAGGCATGCAGAGCACATTTTTTAATCTGGAAGATAGAAGGTCCATGCTGCTACTGTGAGAAGTCATTTGGTCACTCGGGATCCTCCAACTTGTTTGGCTCAGTGTACTTCCATGGAAGGTCAGGCATTTGTGGGGGTGGGGGAGGGGAGTACTAGGGTTTGAACTCAGCTTATACTTCCTAGAAAGTACTCTACCACTTAAGCCATACTCCAGCTCTTTTTGATTTAGTTTTTCTAGGTACAGCCAAATCTGAACCTCAAATTTTCTACTTGCTTCCACATAACTGGGGTTACAAGAACCCACCACACCTGACTCACTGGGCTTGGTCTTGAACTGTGAGCCTTCAAACTGCTGTCTCTGGAGTAGCTAGGATTATAGAAGTAAGCTACTGAACTTGACTGAACATTACCTTTTTTTATACTCCAAATATTTATCTGATTTGACCTTTGATACCCTTAAGATATATTCTTAAAATGTCAACTAGTAACATTTTTTTGTAGGACTTAAACTCAGGGCCTGGGTGCTATCCTTGAGCCTCTTTGTGCGCAAGGCTAATGCTCTATCACTTGAGCCACAGCACCACTTCCAGTTTTTGATTGGTTCATTGGAGATCAGAGTCTCACATGGACTTTTCTGCCCAGGCTGGCTTTGAACCATGATCCTCAGATCTTAGCCTCCTGGGTAGCTAGGATTACAGGTGTGAGCCATGAGCAGCCAGCTGAAAGACTAGTAATTTTTAAAAATGTTTTCATTGTAAAAATGCTGTATAGAGGGGTTACAGTTACATGAGCAAGGTAATGAGTACATTTCCTATCAAGCATTGTTAACTAAGACTAGTAATTTTTAAAGATGGCTTTTCACTAAGCACCAGTGCAGTCATTAGAAAGATGCTAGGGCTCCTCAGCACTGGAAGCCGCCTCTGTTTCCAGACCCTACAGATCAGCGTTGCCTCAGTCCACTCTGCTTTGCCTCTGCAGAAAACCAGAGGAAACCCTTAAGCTGCGCCAGTATTTCTGAAGTCAATTATCAGTTATGGGTGAGTGTTACTGCTATTTGAAAGTACTAATTTATCTTTGCTAGTCTATAGGCCACTGTGTAACAACAGAACCCTAGGAAGTGACTCCAATAAAAGGTATTAAAGAATATAAGAATAAAAGACATTATACTACTGCAAAATGACACAATGTTGTCCTTTGGCAACCATGGGCAAATTAGATCCAGGACCCTAAGAAGATACAAAAATATGTGGATGCTCAAGATTTTTATAAAAATCATATATTTTAAATCATATTTGTCATATAAATTTAATCATATATATTTACATACTGCCCATATAAATTTTCCTATATGCCTTAAAATCAGCCCATGTTATTTATAACACCTAAGTTAATGCAAATGCTATGCAAATCATTGTTGTATTATGTTGTTTACAGAATGACCAGAAAAAAAATGTTTGTACAGATGCAAATCCTGAGGATATCAGGGCTGACACAAAGAGATGATAGTTTTCCTTTTGGCATCTCTGTCTCTAACTGATTGCGTGCCTTTAAATAAATCCTCTTATCTCCTTTCCTTCTGTCCTGTCTCCCCTGAAATCTGATTGAACTTAAACTGGCTATCTTGTCGTGGCCTTCCCGCCTTACAACTTCAGGACTCTTACCAAGTGTGGTGATGGCTTCCTGGTAACTGCTGTGTCATAGGAGTTCTACAGGAGAATAAGACACCCATAGCCAGAGCTCCATTTAAATTATCAAAGATCTTAGAGCTAGCTAAGCAGGGGCGTTTGCATGCAAGCCTTGAATACCCAGTTCATGTGTATTGAGATCTTGTTGCCATGATAGATGCAAAGATAATATCCTGAGCAGGCAACCAGCACTCAGGGGCCAGACATTGGCATTAATTCACCTCATTGCCGCAACAGCCTTATCTCCACTTGACAACTGGTGATATTGGACATAGACACTTTAAATAACATCTAATAAGGTCATACTGACCATATGTGTAGAAGGCAGGTGTAGAGGCAAAGTGCAATTTGAAACTGTGCTTCCCTCTCTTTCTAATAAAGTATGGAAATACTTTTCATTTCTATTTGTAGAATAATGGCCCAGAAGTATGCCCACTACCAAAGAGTTTATATTTTAAGACCTCCTTTAATACTATTTCAATTCTCTCAGGGGAAAATAAACCCTCAAATTGTCGCTATACAAACACACTAGTTTCTTATTCCATCATAGAGAGGTACTCTCCTACTTACATTCCTCTGGACCTTTCTCCTAAGTGTGTAGTTTAATTAAAGAATGGAAAGTTTAAAATTGTGTATCATCATAAATGCTTATTGATAGCACCCTCGAGAAAAAGTTATAAATTTAACCAAGCATAGTAAGTTCCCATTTAAGCAAAATGTAATTTATTTTTGGACAATCTGTTGAACTTTTTCAACATTTAGGATCCCAAATGACTTTTAAAACTCACTTCTGTGTTTACACAAACCCATGAGAGAGAAGTGTGGAAAAAGTTGAAGCAAAACATAGTATCTCATGATCCCTGAAAGTGGTGTGCTATTTATTCACTTGACTCAGAAACTCCAAGAAAGCAGGAATGTCTGATCTTCATGTTCACTGTAAAAACACCTGCAAAACAAAGGTCACCAAAAGTGTACATATCTGAAGTCACCAAATACCTGAAATGTACTGCTTTATAGAAACAATGTATGTTAGCCTAGCAGTGGTGTAGTTGATATCCTGTAGGTACATCCTGGACAGACAAAGTGGGGCTGCACACAGGGCTATAGGCCACAGAGAGTGCTATATTTTTGTTGCATGCTGATCTTAAGTTTTAATTCATCATACATATATACAACATACAGTGTGACAATTGTGCATGTGACACATACATATGCTGGGTTATGCTCCAAGAGGAGGACTAAGATAGAGATGGCCTAGTTATTGGACACATCCAAGTGAACAAATGCTCCTGGTTTTCCATGGAGCACTCACGAGTGTGCCTGTAGAGTTCGTGGACATATTAACCCAGGCATGAGCTCTGATATACCAGGAGGTAATACTCACTTGAAGAGAATAGATTCTTCCAAAACCAGAATAGGCTACAGAGAAGAAAAAACTACACTCGGAAAATTCAAATCTTATAGCATGGAATGAATTCAGCACAAAATAAATACAAATGAAGGTCCTTTTTAAAAGAACCCCAAATTATCAAAAGCAAGGTCTGAAATGTTTCTAGTACTTCTTTAAACTCTTAATAAGTCTGATACTTGGTTAAGCTGGGCACTGGTGGCTCATGCCTGTAATCCTAGCTGCTCAGGTGTCTGAGAGGTGAAGATTGTGGTTCTAAGCCGGTCCAGGCAGAAAAGTCAGTGTGACTCTTATCTCCAATAAAAAGAAAGAAGCGGAGCTGTGTTTCAAGTGGTAGAGTACTACCTTGAGCAAAAGAAGCTTAGGGACAGTGACCAGACCTTCATTTCAAGCACTGGGACTAGCACCTCCCAAAAAAGATACTTGGAAACAATGAGGTAAGTGCAGTAAGCATTCCATGTCTCTGGGTTCCATTTCTGTGAGTTCAACCAATCTTTGATCACAAATATGCACCACAAAATTTTCAGAAAGTTTTTCTTGTTTTTCTCATTATTCTCTAAACATTATGGTCTAAAACGTATATGCAAAGAGTTGTATATTGTACTGATGCAAGTAATCTAAACATGATTTAAAGTATATGCAAAGGTATATGTAGGCAATATACAAATATTGTGTCATTTTAGGTAATGGACGTGAACATAAATGGGTTTTGAAATCTGCAGGAGTCCCGTAATCAGCATTCCAACTAAAGAACAGTGTATCACTGCATTCTCAGAAGAAGAACTGAAGCTGTTCATACCTCTTCCCCCAGTCTTTTGTTTCCCATTCTCTCTGCAGCTCACTGTAACTTCAGTCGTCCCTTACACCACTGTTCCCATCAAGGTTGCCGACTATGCCTGTGAGGTTGAATCCATGGTTACTTTCTTTTCTGCTTGGCCTATCAGCAGTGTTCACTAAAATAGCTACTCTCTTATGCTGTGCTTTCTTGGCTTCCTGCCACCCTCCTGAACTCCAGTTCTGCCACTTGGGTGACCATATTTCAGGACTCAGCCTCTTCTCCACACCTCCTATAGATGATCTTGGGAGGGAACCTGTTTACCCTGCTGGGTTCTTTAGTATCTCTTCTGCAAGATGCAGTAAATTTACCACGTCCCACACTGAGAACCTGGTATCTCTCCAAGCCCATCCCTCTTTGCCTCCCTCTACTGGGTACTAGCAAAGCCAGTCTGCTAGTTTTCTGGATAGAGCCTTGGTTCCTCTCTTTCTTTTCACAGTCTTCATTTTATCCAAGAGCAGACCCAACTGAGTGCCTTAGGATGTCGTGTTTCTACTGGGACTGTGAGACACAACACTCTGCCTGTGGTGTTATGTGTCTGCTGCCACAGCAACCCACTGCCCCCCCCCCAGCCCTGGATCAGATCACAGAGTGCTGGTATTGTCAGCCTTCTTGCCCTTTCAGTTAGCCTCAAAGTACTGCTAGCAGATGGGCATCCTAGGGAGCTCACAGTTTCCCCTCCCTTCATGGGGTTCTCTATAAGCAGTGTCCCTCCGAAGTGGTCATGGGGATCCTAGTACCTGCAAGGCACCCCAGCCAGGCTCTTCCTCTCCTTGTCTTCCACGGGAACACTAGCAATGGTTGCCTGATGTTGCCCATCTCTGGGATGCCTAACCAATTTCTTGTCTCTTTGTGGCTTCTGCCATCACCTCTATTACAGTCACTCTGTAGGAGGTGACACTGTTCAAAAACAAATCTACTCATTACCTGACTTACGTAACTGTAACCCTCTGTACATCACCTTTACAATAAAACTTTAAAAACATAAAAATCATTCTGTTTTGCCTAAGTGTCCATGAACAGATGGATGTTGAAAGAATATGGGGTGCACATATACAATAGAATGTTATTTAGAAGAATAAAAGAATAATAAAATCCTGTCATGTTCAGAATAACCCCAGGTGAACCTAGACTGATATTAAGTAAAATAAGAGCTTACATAAAGTGAAATAAGCCAGACACAGAAAGACAAGTGCCATGTAATCTTATTCATCTGAGGAAACTAATTGATCTCATGGAAGTTGGCAGGAGTGGGAAATATAGATAAAGGACTTGGGAGAAGCTACATGATGGGTACAAATTTACAGTTGGACATGAGGAATAAGTTCTTTCTTTCCCACAGAATGATGACTATGACTGGGAACAATGTATCTTTTAAAAACAGCTGGAAGAAAAGATTTTGAACATTTTCTCCACAAATGATAAATGTTTAAAGTGATAAATGTGCTAATTACTATACTAATAATTTTATCATTACAGAATGCATACTCCTGTGAAAAGTCCACATTATAATATCTCACTCCAAATTCCTCTCTTTTAGACATGGGCCTGGATACTGTCCCTGAGCTTTTTCACTAAAGGCTAGCATTCTACTACATTAGCCACAATTGCACCTCCAGCATTTTGCTGGTTAACTGGAAAAAAAGAAAGATTCTCGTGGGCTTTTCTGCCTGGGCTAGCTTCAAATAAAAATCTTCAGGTCTCAGCCTCCTGAGGAACAAGGTTAGAGGCATGAGCCACCCGCACCAAGCTGAGGCCTCTTGTTTTTATGCACTGATTCCACTTATGTAGCCCCACCCTCATGACCTAAGCATCTCTCAAACGCTCCACCTCCGAATACCATCTGTCTTAGTCTGCTCTCTGCTGATAAAATCCCATAGAATAAACAGCTACTAAAGGAAAGAAATTCATTTCTAACATTTCTGGTGGCTGCGGAGTCTACTGTTAAGGTGAGATCCTCCTTGCTACATGACAACATGCAGGGTGTGATATGGTGAGAAAACACACAAGAAAAAGATGGCTCATATAACCAATCCACCTCCAGTTAGTGGTATTAATCCACTGGAGTCCTGATGCTTAAGCATGTCTTAATATTCTCAGTATTATTCTCTTTCTGTGTGTGTGGTTTTGCGTGTGTGTGTGTGTGTGCGCGCACCCGTGCGTGAGCACCTGTGTGTGTTCTGGTAGTGTGTGGCTTGAATTCAGGGCCTGGGCACTGTCCCTAGCAATTTTTTTTGCCAGTCCTGGGGCTTGAACTCAGGACCAGGGCACTGTCCTTGAGCTTCTTTTGCTCAAAGCTAGCACTCTAGCACTTGAGGTACAGTGCCACTTCTGGCTTTTTTTTTTTTTTTTGGTACTAAGGAATGGAACCCAGGGCTTCATGCCTGCTAGGCAAGCACTCTACCACTAAGCCACATTCCCAGTCCCCTAGCATTTTTATTCAAGGTTAATGCTCTACCACTTGAGCCACAGCTCCTTTTCTGGCTTTTTAGTGGTTAATTGGAGATAAAAGTCACACAGACTTTCCTGCCCCAGTTGGCTTTGAATCTTGATCCTCAGATCTTATCCTCTTGAGTAGCTAGGATTAGAAGAATGAGCCACTGGTGCCTAGCAGTATTATTCTTAATATCATAACTTCTTAATAGTATTACTATGGCATATAGATTACAACATTAGGCTTGGCCTAATGTACTGTGATGTTGTCAAGCTATGATTTTTAGGAAACGCAAACATTTAGCCCACAACACCACCAATCCCACAAAGGACTAGTATCCACAATATACCAGCAACTCTCAAAATGCAAAAGCAGGACACAACTAATCCAATTGGAAAAGTACAAAGGATATGTATAGACATTTCATTAAAAAGAAATGTCATCTTTATTTGATGATGAATAAGTCTATGGAAAGATTTCACATCCTTGATCAACCAAAAAATTAAAACCAAATAATTGCAATCCTCAAAATAGCAACTAAAAGAAATAGTGATAATCCTAGAGAGGATGCAGAGAAACTAAATCACGTGTGTTGTTGGTGCAAATGTAAAATGGTATAGCCATTCTGCAAAATAGTTTGGTCATTTTCATAAAAATCACTTTATGATTCACCAATGATGCTCCAGGGCAAGGATCCCAGAGATGTTAAAATTGTTCATATTGTATACTATGCTAGGTGCTAGTGGCTTATGACTGTAATCCTGGCTACTCAGGAAGCTAAGATCTGAAAGATTGTTGTGAGAAGACTGTCCTGAGCAGAAAAATCCATCCCCAAAATAACTAACAAAAAGATGGGCTAGAAGAGTAGCTCAAGTGGTTGAGCAACAACTGAGTAAGCAAACTGAGTAAAGTACAAGGCCCTGAAGTCAAATCTAAGTACAGAGAGAGTAAGTGGAGAGAGGAACCTGTACACAAATGTTTGTAGTTGTTTTACTCAAAATGGTATGAAACTGGAAACTACCAAATGTTCTTCAATATACAAGTAGCTGAACATGCTTGGCATACACTATGGAATACCACTCAGCTATCAAAATGAACAAACTATGTGGCTCAGTAGTAGAACACCATCCTCACATGATCCCAGAAGTCCCCTATTGCCTGATTCAATTTATATAAATGAACTTAAAATTGTAAGAACGAGACCGGTGGGTTCCAGGGGTCAGAGAAGAAGTGGGTATAGCTATGAAAAGGGAACAGTAGGAATTCTATGTTCATATCTCAACTGAAAAGACCTGTACGTCAACTTCACTTACATCAATAGCCTGGTTTTAATACGGTTGATCATTTTGCAAGATATTACATTGAGAACTGGATATTGATATGTGAGTTATAAAAAGAATGCTAGGATATTTCTGTATTATTTCTCACAATTTCATATGAGTCTACAAATATCTCAAAATACATAATTTCAAAAATTAGTATTGTATTGGAATCACAACAATTAGATAAATGGAACTAAATAAGAAATTGCAGATATAAACTTTATTCGATTTATTTCTTCAAAAGACCTCGATGAGGGCTGGAAAAAAGGTGGCTCAGTGTTAGAATGCTTGCCTTGCATGCACGAGACCCTGGGTTCGATTCCTCAGCACCACATAAGCAGAAAAAGCTGGAAGTGGCCCTCTGGCTCAAGTGGTAGAGTGCTAGCCTTGAGCTGAAGAGCTAAAGGACAGCCCCCAGGCCCAGAGTTCAGGCCCCACAACCAGAAAAAAGAAGAGAAAAGAAAAGAAAAGATACCTCGGTGAAAGAGATATGTTAGTGAATGTTCTCAGGGGGAAAACTGGTAGGAGAGTGGGGAAGTAAGATTAGGAAGGATATGGCTTTAGTAGGTTGAATGTTAAGACTCCAAAAAGACATTTCTCTGTTCCAATCCCCACACAATGATACTTTTATCATCATGACTAGCCTAAGGGATGTTTGGATAGCTGGCAAAACATTGTTTCTCAATTTTTCTCTGGGGATATTTCCTTATGAGAGGGCCACTATCCCATTTACCCCTGTGTGATAAAAACCTCAGACTCTTCCAACTCTCCATGAGTTGGGCCTGGAAGTCTTAAAATAGGTTTTTGAGAGATGCAAGTGCTGCTTATTGGGAAGAAAATGCCAAGGGAATAATACAATGTGTGAGAACACAGGAATGCATGTCAGGAGATGTGGGCAGAGCACTGACATTATGGGCTGCATAGTAATCTTGAGGCTATTTAGGTACTGAAAAAGTCAGGATTGTATACAAAAATGCACTAGAAAAATCTGTTACCCTTTAGGGAAAAAAGTAACTATGTTCATATCTATCTAGCATCATACTGAATTATAATTTCCAAAACAAAGGGTCAAATGTAAACAACAATACACGATGTAAGAGAATTAAATAATTCCCTTCACCAATGGAAAAAGTTTAAAGAAAATGAATGAGAAATAAAATTATTCTAGAAAATTGTGTGATTAAAAATACAATATGTACACACAGGAGAATTGAAAAAAAATAAGATCTCTGGGATCCAACTTATATTTAACCATTGAAATCAAATTAGGTGCCCCTACAAATATTATATATAAATATATAAAAATTAAATCTATGGGGCTGGGAAGGTGGCTCAGTGGTAGAGCGCTTGCCTTGCATGCATGAGGCCCTGGGTTCGATTCCTCAGCACCACATAAGCAAAAAGAAAAAAGCCGGAAGTGGTGTTGTGGCTCAAGTGGCAGAGTGCTAGCCTTGAGCTGAAGAGCTGAGGGACAGTGCCCAGGCCCAGATTTCAGGCCCCACGATCGGACCCCCCCCAAAAAAATTTATAAATCTATATTTAATATATGATTATAACATTACAAATGTTAAAATAATATACATTTATATATTTAAATATATAACCTATATATTGTATAACTATACTACAAATATATAGCTATATAATTTATGTATAAATGTATTAAATATATTGTATATATTAAAGCATATATTTATGTATTAAAATATATAAATGTATAAAATATATGATAAGTATATAAATGTATTTACATAAATATATAAATGTTATATACCAATATATTATACATATATAAGTGTATTATATATAGATATGTTACAAATTATATAAATATATGCATATATATTTACACACATACCAAAATTAGATTACTGATGCAATTTAAAACATTCTGCAACCACTGACTTCAAAGGACAAAAGCCATTGGCTGTCTCTAGCGAGTCCTGCTCGGGGCCTGGCATCCTTAACCGCACCAGGCAGAGAAACTGGCCCACAGCTTCTTCATCTGCCAGCAGTCAGGTTTTTCAACTGCCCCACCAACCATTGCCTGGTTAGTGCGCATGCGTGAGGAGGCGGTACCCAGCACTCCTTCGTCCCCTCCGGCCGGCGCGATGACGTCACTGGCTCGCGCCGCGCACAATTTAACACACCTGTGTTCCGCCTTCCGGAAGGAGACCCAGCAGCTGACCATGGCTACCGCCGCGGAGCAATGGGTCCTGGTGGAGATGGTGCAGGCGCTGTATGAGGTGGGCTCTCTGGCCGGAGAGGCTCTGGGGAGGGTGAGAAGGCGCGAGTGGGTCTGAGGTGCGAGGGCTCGGGTGGGCGGATTCGGTCCCGCTCGCCCGGGCGCTCCCTGGCGAAAGGGCTCTCGAAGGAGTCGGTGTCCGCCGCCGGTCGCGGGTGGAGGGGCCGGTAGGCCGGGGCCGGTAGGCCGGGGCGCGGCCGCCGGGACCTGAGTGTGAACCCGCGGTCCCGGGCTCCTGTAGAAGGCGGGAAAGGAACCCCTGAGAGGGGCCACAGGGTGTGACTGGTCCAAACCGGATCGCTCCTGACAGCTGACAAAGTTGGAGCAAGTAGAGTGGACAGTCTCGGTCCGAGATGGTCCTCGGGAAATCCGGTCCTCGGACGTGTGGTGCAGTTAGTCGGAGAGAAACATTATAGTGAATCGGATTGGGAGTTAGACAAGAAACGGGATGATACAGGATTCTAAAATACGAAGTACTTCGTCATTCTGTGGCATACATCTGGCATTTTTTAAATAGAAAATACAACTATTTTAATAAAGTTGTTTTCTAAAAATAGTTCAGGCTTCTTTTTTTTTTGAAAGGGAAGCTACTTCAGATATGTAACATAGTAGGAAATCACAATGGGCCGTCTTAGGAGAATGTCTGATTAATTGACAAATGCTGCTGCTGCATTGACAAATCCCTGTGCTGTAGTGTGGAACTTTCTGCATTGTCTTTCGGCTGCTGAGCTACTGACTATGTGTAGGGGATAGCCACCGAAGAAATTAATTTCTAATTAAACTAAAATGCAAATTTAAGTAGTGCATGCTACTTAATTAGTGCTTTGATCAGGAGAGATCTAAACGCTAGGAATAGATCATACATTTAACAAATTGGCCGAGTTTCTAAGGGCTGACACAGTGAATTTTGCTTTGCTTTCCATAGTGTCTTCCATTACACAACTTGATGGGAAATTTTTCATGAAAAGTATTTTGAGACCATGTGTCTGGCTCTCTGCTATTCTTTCTTTCTTCCTTCCTTCCTTTCTTCCTCCCTCCCTTTCTTTCTTTCTTTCTTTTTTGGGGGGGTAATACTGGGGTTGAACACAGGGCCTGTCCACATATTAGGCAAGTGATCTGCTACTGTTCCCAGCCTCTTGTTTTTGAGTCTCAGTATCCCACTCCTTGTCTCAAGATCTTCCACTTCATGGGTGATTATCTTAATACAGATATATATATATATATATATATATATATATCATTATGTAGTTAACTGATATACAGCTATAGGTTAGCTATAGTGACTAACATAAGTTACTAAAATTGAATATTTTTAAGAAATGAGTTTTTAAGGAAACAATTTATTATATATTTGCATGTTGGTTTTGAAATTTTGTTGTGTAACTTCTTTCCTAAACATGATGATCAGAGACTTGGAAACTCCTAGTATGTAACATAGCCTTAAGAGGAAAAGATGATTTTTTAAAAATTAATTTCCTACATTAATAGTTTCTTGTCACTTGGTGAATCTTTGAGAGTGGACTATTTACTGATTTGGACAGCCTCTAGTAATCCCCTGCTAGAGTAATTGCTAAAAGAATATTTACATTTACTCCTATTTAATAGGGATCAGTAATTTTTCATCAAGAGTAATTTTTTAAAATTGAGAAAAATGTATATAATCTTGTTCCCAATTTCTGTGTACTTTGTAGAACTTGAGGGGACCTGTATGACATAGTGTACCTGGAAAAAAAGAAAAAGAGCCATTTGTGTATTTAGCATACATATGTAGTTTTAGAGTTTTTTGCACATTAACTTGTTGTGGAAATTTACCAGAAATTTTACACTCCTCAATTTTTTTTTTAGCTATCCTTATTACTTTCTGTCCAATGCTTTAAAACAATGGTGTTGTTTATAAATGCTCTTTTTTGTATCCAAATCTGCCTGTAACTTGAGTTCTTCCTCCCACGTACTGGGATTACAGGCATGCACCATCACAGTTGGCTTTGAAATGCTTCTTTTCAATGAATTTGCCAACAAAAACCCACTAAAGTAGGACATCCTGTAACTCACTGGCTGAAGATTAGTTGATATCTAGAATCATTCATATGAAAGCTTAGCTTTCATTCTGAAATCATACAGTTAATCAGAAAATCTGAGATAATATTGTTAAGATACCTTTGTGATTATTGATGTGAAACACATGACATACTTTGGGGAAACTATGGTAGAAAGAAGAACTGCTATTCCTTTAAGCATTTATAGTCATCCCTCCCTCCCTCCCATCCCCTCGTTCTACCATACTCTAGAAAGGGTTTGAGGAGAGTTATCCTGGATATAGAATGTGTAGTAAGATGTGTAAAACTTTGCATGTTGTAGTAACTGATTGCACATAACTATTAACTTACTTGTAAGTAGATGGAGGCTAACTTATTCTTGAGTAGATCGAGGTGATAGAAGGCTTATTAAGTGGAGTAATTTTTTTACAATCATTTCCTGCCAGAAAAAAATTATCTGTAGGATATGATAATATTGTTTTAAGTATTGGGCTTGTCTGGTTTAATTTTTTTTCATTTTATTCCTAAAAAAGTCTTTAAAGTATTAGAGCTTTCTCATGTGAAGGAGAAGACATAGGAAAAGGAATGAATAGATATTGAGAATGCTCTGGTAGTAAATATAAGAAGTAACAAATTACCTGCTTTCACTATATTTGATGTCAGTATAACTTGTGGAGGAGATGGGGAAAAACAAAGTCGTTTAAGGATACAGGTGGACCTGTTGCAACAATGAGAAGTACAAGTTGTCATGTCGAAAACGAGCTTTACAACATTGGTGTGGGGGGAGGGATTGGGGAGGCGGCTGGGGGGGGAGGCTGGGAAGGGATGTGAAGGGTAAACAAAGGAGGAGGCTGCAATGCTTGATAAGAAATGTATGCATTATCCTGCCCATGTAATTGTAACCCCTCTGTACAGTATGTTCACAAAAAAAAAATTAAATTAAAAAAAAAAGAAGTAACAAATGATACAGGACCATATAATAGATAAAAGGTCACCAAAGGCAGCACCTTCAGGTGTACTGAATTTAATATGCAGGCTTCAGAAGAGTTTATTTCTTTTTCATTGTTTTTTTTTTTTTTTTTCTTGTAGGCTCCTGCTTATCATCTTATTCTGGAAGGTATTCTAATACTCTGGATAATCAGGCTTCTTTTTTCTAAGACCTACAAATTACAAGAACGATCTGATCTTACAATTAAGGTAATTTAATCTTTTTTTGTGTACTATTGTAGTTGCTACATCTTTCTAAAAAGGGATTGTGACTCAACTAGTATATGTTAAAATGTTTTCTGTAATGTAAGGAAATCAAGGGGAATGAAACATCAGGGTTAAAAAAAATACCGGGAAAATGAGGAATAAGGTCACTATCCAAAGGAACACCATATGATGGGCCTATATTCTTTGAAAGTAGTAAACAGCAGTCTAACCTATTGATGGTTTCAGGAACACAAGAGCAACTACTGGATTTTTACCACTGTCTATTTGAAGGTTATACCAGTCACTCGGGGAAAGTACACCTGTTTTTGAGGCCTGAGAGATAATTCTGCCTGTAGTTTTCACAAACGAAGTTTAGAGTTAGAATTCTGTCTATTCCCATCTCAAGTGGAATTTTGATGTAGTATATATGGGAAAGGCAGGAAAATCTTAAGCATAGAAATAAATTTTTCTTAAAATTCTCAAATCACCCTTAAAACTGCATGAATAAACAAGCAAATTAGAAAGAGTTGAGGGTGTCAATAGCCAAACTCAAGAATGATTCTATTCTTGTTCTAACCACAGTAACTAGAGTTAGGCTAGACATTTCTAACAATGTATTCCCTAGGAGTTTCCATTCAGCATATAGTTCATATATTGCTGGCATTAATAAGAAGTGGCTTGTACTATGCTCTGTCTCTTCTTCTCCCATAGGAAAAGGAAGAATTGATTGAAGAATGGCAACCTGAACCTCTTGTTCCTCCTGTGTCAAAAGACCATCCTGCTCTTAACTACAACATTGTTTCAGGGTAAGTTGATTTGGCTTAGTGGATCATTTGTGTTTAGTGTCCTTTAGTTGTTTTTGCTAAAGTTTATGCTGCTTTTGTATTCATTTTTTCACTGGTAAAACATTTCAAAATTTCTAGGAGTAAACTTACTGCTTTAGTTCCCAATACAGACCAATACAGACATTTCTTTTAGATATGGTCTAGATAGCTCTGTGTGTGTGTGTGTGTGTGTGTGTGTGTGTGTGTGTGTGTGTGTGTGTGTGTGTGTGTGTGTGTGTGTGTGTGTGTGTGTGTGTGTGTAAGAGAGAGAGACAGAGAGAGAGAGACAGAGAGAGAGACAGAGAGAAAGGGGAGAGAAGAACGGAGGGAGGGGAGGAGGGAGAGAGACGGAGAGAGTTAGTGCCAGTTCTGGGGCTTGAACTCAGGATCTGGATGCTGTCCTGAGGTTTTTTCCTCAAAGCTAGTGCTCTTCCACTTGAGCCACAGCTCCACTTCTTGCTGATTAATTAGAGATGTTAGGCAAAATGAACCCAAAGATAAGGACTCAAATGGGTTTTCTTTCTTGCTATTGTTTCTAACATACTTGTAAGATGATTTCTTTGTTGCTTTGTATGTCCATTCCTCACGGTATAACCCCTGTTTTCACTGTGTTTGATGTTGTTATAATTTGTGGAGGGGAAGGGAAAAAACAAATTGTTTTAACAGGGGTACA